AACTCCTTTTTAAATTTATATTAAAATTAAAATAAAATAATGAATCATTTAAAACCAACAACTAATTTACAAGAAATTTAACACAATTAATCAAGCAACTTTACACTATCAATCAAAATACAACACGCAATTAAATCACGTATTTTAAATAAACAATTAAGCAAATAGACTCAAATAAACTCATAGCCACATAAGCACATAGCAACATATTCCACTAAAAATGCACAAGAAATAAAAATTATATTCCAATTATATACTTTTGAAAATTAGGGGTATTACACTACACCCCCAAAGTCTTTAAGTTTGCACACATTCCACCAAGCAAACTTGAGCACCAGTAGATTTCAAATTAACTCCAGTCCAAAGAAAGTTTCTTAGGATAATATTGAGTTGGTTGATAACCATTTTAGGAAGGATTGATAGACCACACACTACACCCCCAAAGTCTTTAAGTTTGCACACATTCCACCAAGCAAACTTGAGCACCAGTAGATTTCAAATTAACTCCAGTCCAAAGAAAGTTTCTTAGGATAATATTGAGTTGGTTGATAACCATTTTAGGAAGGATTGATAGACCACACCAGAAACTAATCATGTTGAATGATGGATTTTATGAGTTGCAGCCTGCATAAGATAGGAATGTAGCTGTCCCACATTTGGTTGGTTGATAACCATTCTAGTTTTATGTTTTCCTACGTCAACTTTCTTAAAACAAAAGCCCTTTTTTTTTTTTTTTTTTTTTTTTTTGTGTTAAAAGATGAGCTAAAAGCCTTTGAGTTTTCTTAGTTCCTAAAGACCAAAGTTTATCAAATGCTTTATTTTCAGCAAACATTCAGTTTTCGGGAGTGGATCAACGATGCTACACCCTGAGCCTAGTTTTTAAATAATTTTAGTTTTCCTATTTCGATAGTAATTGATTTTTTTACGAATTTTTGATTAACCATTGTTCAGTTTTCCTTTCAACTGGAGACCCCTCTCATCTTCTTTTAAAACATAATTAATCGCGTCCTACGGTTTTGGGGGATGTGACAATGTCATATTGTGATTTTGATGTAAATGGATTGGATTAAAAAAGACAAAAAGAACCAAGTGAGAATGATTTTGATGTAGTTCATTGCCATTGCAAGGTGCTCATTTGTGATGGTTTTTGAAGAGGGTCCAAGAAAGAGAAGCAAGATAAATTATGAAAAAAAAAAAACGAAAAAGAAAAAAGAGGGAAGCAAGATATGAGAAAAAGGGATGTAGTTAAAATAATAGAGAAGAAAAGAAAAGCTGCCAAGAAATTTAGGTGTTCTTCAAAGCCAACCTAACCCACCACCTGCAAACCCTACCCTATCACCTAAAGTTTACTTTATGGGTGTGTCACCTACAGTGGACTCTCTTTTCCGATAAAATAGTATAATTTGTTCTATCTAGTTCAGGATGCACCTTATAAAAAAAAAATTTGAATGTTCAATTAATGTTACAATTTTTTTGTAAAGTACATTCTGAACTAAACAGAATACGATATACTGTTAGCATGAGAAAATTTTCTTCCGTGCCACACTATATTCCACATGTTAATCTTAGATATTCTCATAGTTCCTTTAGGAGTGTAACAAATTAAACTTTTTATTTAAATAAAACCCAAGTTTAGAAATCAATGCGAGAATGGTTCTCCTACTTTAAAATTGGGTTTGGATCTCATTAATTAATTATAAAAAAATGGCCACACTTTTTTTTTTTATGGTGCATAAAGAAACTGCCCCAAGACATGTAAAATTGTTGAATTCAGAGATACAAAAATGCCGTAAAGCTAAAGCCCCTTGAGAAAGAATAAAAAAATTACTACAGCATACTTATTTAAGTGAAAATTTTAACTGCAGTTAAAGAAGAAAAAAAATAGAGGAGGCCAGGCGGAAGCTGAGCAATTAAAATTCAGGTGAAGCAAAAGTCTCCCATGGCCGATGCAAATAAATTAGGGTAAATTACAATGACCTCCGTTGAGGTTTGACCTAATTGCAAATAAATTGAAAGTTTGTCATTTTCTTTCATAAAGGTATGTTAGATTTTGCTGTGAATTTACGTATCTACCCTCATTCTTATACTGTTAAAAATAATCAAAATATTTGGATATGTCAAATGACTATTTTGCCTCGCCTACGAATCTTCTGCAATTGGGGCCTATGCATTTAAAAAATTACTATAGCATACTTGCTTAAGTGAAAGTTTTAACTGCAGTTAAAGAAGAAAAAACAAGAGGAGGCCAGGGGGAAACTGAACAATTAAAATTAGGAAAAATTACATATAAATGGAGTCAAAGTTCCATATTTACTGAGAGGCTGAGTCAAAGTTCCATATTTACTGAGAGGCTGAGTCAAAGTTCCATATTTATCTAAAATGGATTGCTGAGGTGGCACATGGTTTTTTACTGTTTAGAAATTGTGGTGCCTAAAATACCTTTCCGCGAAGGTACTACTTTTTTGAACTGAAGGTACTACTTTTTGGCGTCCAGGTACTATGTTTTTTAAACACCCACGAAGGTACTACTTTTTCTCCGAAGGTATTACTTTTTTGAACTGAAGGTACTACTTTTTTGAACTGAAGGTACTACTTTTTTGTTAGGGAAGGGCATTTTAGGCACCACAATTTTTTAAACAGTAAAAAACCATGTGCCACCTCAGTAATCCATTTTAGAGAAATATAGAACTTTGACTCAGTTTCTAAGTAAATATGGAACTTTGACTCCATTTATATGTAATTTTCCCTTAAAATTAAGGTGAAACAAAAGTCTTCCATAGCCAATGCAAATAAATTAGAATAAATTATAATGACCTCCCTCAAGGTTTGACCTAATTGCAAATAAATCGAAAGTTTGTCATTTTCTTTTGTAAAGGTATGTCAAATTTTGTTGTGAATTTACCTATCTACCCTCATTATTATACTGTTAAAAATAATTAAAATTTTTGGATATGTTAAATGACTATTTTGCCCCACCTACGGATCTTCTGTAATTGGGGCCTATGCATTTAGAAAATTACTTCACCATACTTGTTTAAGTGAAAATTTTAACTGTAGTTAAAGAAGAAAAAAATGAGGAGGCCAGGGGAAAACTAAACAATTAAAATTCAGGTGAAGCAAAAGTCTCCCATAGCCAAAGCAAATAAATTAGGGTAAATTACAATGACCTCCCTTGAGGTTTGACCTAATTGCAAATAAATCGAAAGTTTGTCATTTTCTTTTGTAAAGGTATGTCAAAATTGGTTTGAATTTATGTATCTACTCTCATTATTATACTGGTAAAAATAATCAAAATATTTGGATATGTCAAATGACTATTTTGCCCCGCCTACGGATCTTCTGCAATTGGGGCCTATGCATTTAAATAAAAGCAAAATAAGTTATAACACCGTTGTTAAATCTCACACTCCTTGAGTTAAGTCTCTAGCCCTTGAGTTAAGTCCCACATTTATTTGTCTTAACAAGTGATATCACATCTCATCACTCTTCTCTATCCAGCCAAATATTCCGCTTTCTTCTTCTTCTTCTTCTTCTTCTTCTTCTTCTTCTTCCTAACATTGCAAACACCAAAACACACCACCAAACACCGTCACCAAGGTAATAAGTCTATTCAATCTCCTCCCAAAATCACATACCCAATTGTTTGAGTTTATATGTGGCAGACCAGATCTATTGAGATATTGGGAGAAACTCAAATAATTCATGTTCAATTGTGAAATATATAACTTATAAATGCATCTTTTTATGAATATACCCAATTGTTTCAGTTTTTATGAATACAATTGTCTGATGCATTGTGAATAAAGACTACTTTGATGGGGTAAAGGAAGAATATTTATCTTTATTTTGGAAAGAGAATATTGAGAGAGTAACTAGCCTAAAAAAGATGAAAAAGTGACTTGGGGAGAAATACGTATATACCATTTAGGATACAATCTTGATTTTTTTTTTTTTCGTGAAGTCTAACATTGCTTTTATGGATATTAACAATAGAGATCATCTATACTGCATATTGAATTTGCAAGAGTGAGACCATGCAAATCATCTTCAACTGTTGCCAGGAGCCTTTGGTTTGATGTTGTAGAGGTTACTAAAGCTTTGATTAGAGATAGTCTTTGTTCTTAACTTTTAGTTCAAATATAAGTTCTTGAGCTATTGCTTTCTTTGCTGCCTGTGATTGACCCTTCTTTGCTGCCTGTGATTGACCGGGAATATGTAGCCCACGATGATGCAATATAATTTATCCTTTGTCTAGTCTTTATTTTGTGTATTTTAATTCCCGACCAATTTAAGAGGGATTCCCACCATCCTCTTCCTCATCTTTTCCATACCTCAGGAATTCTAAGAAGCAGCAGACACTTCTATTTTTTTTGTGATGAGCGAAGCATGAACACTTCTATTGAAGAGCTATATCCGTGTCGAACACCGACACTTCTCGAACACTCCTTGGACACTTCATATACGTGTCTATAAATAAAAATTAATTTTATTATTTCGAACACTTCACCGATACTTCCCAGAAACTTTTCGGACACTTTGCCGACATTTTTGAACATTTCAAACACACATTTACCCCCCTAATCTTGAAAATAATATGAATATTATCATGACAAAGTAGTGAAATACTAATATATATGATATAAAAATCATTACAACATAATTTCATTTTCTAATTCATTCCAGAAAAACTCTTAGTATAAAAATTATAAATGAATTAAAGTTTTATAATACGATTACTGAATAAATGTATAAAAATAAAAAAATTATTTATATGTAATCGTGTCTGCGCCTTATCCGTGTCCTACTTTTTTAAAAATTTGACGTGTCGACGTATCCGTATCTTATCGTGTCCGTATCCGTGCTAAATAACTACTCCATCTCCCACCTACCTTACCTCTAATTCCATTGCTTGCAAACAAATGGAGCACTATCCCAACCAATCAATATTTCTAATAATTACTTTAAAATCACCAAAACTATCTTTTCAACAGCTTGGGCGGTAAACAATAATTGATTGGTTATATTATTGCTGAAAGGATTGACGGATCTGGTCACAATATTCAACATACATTTTTCCTCAATAATTCTAAGACATCAATTTGTAGCCAGTCATCAAAAATTGTGTTCCCTCCAGCATTCTGTCATCCAATGATGCAGTCTTTGGCTACCTTCAGATGTAACAACAAATATCGAAATATAGCCCAGAACACAGTTAAGATGCTCCAACCGAAAACATTACCAACTTCAACGTTCCTTTCAATAGTGTGAGTTCCTTGCACAGTGCCTAAATGTTCTCACCTGGAGGTAATTCTGCAAGCTTTGTAGGTGTACCGAGTACACGTTCCATATCAAAACGAACTTCAATGTTGCGAATTCCGTATCCAACTACCATCAACCAATAAAGCAGCTTGCCAAGTTCAGGCGCACTTGTTTCCGTTGCACTTGTCTGTAGACCACGGAGAACAGGACCAAGAATGTAAGCAAACTATCAAAGTGCTGCTTTCAAACAGATGATAATCTTAACAACTTTATGAAGAAGAAAATTCACTTTTAAGGATTAACACAATCATCTAAAAAACCACTCTTCAACATTATGGTAGATACAAAATTCAGACAGCTTCATTTCCTAATTTAAAATGACAAACAATTTAGCAAATATGGATCATATGACTAGTTAGCATGTTCAGGTTGATGAGAAATTAATCATTGTTTAACTTCTTGTGAGATTCATAACACTGCTTGGCTAGCAGCTTTACAAACCATTTCTGTGTTAATTACCAGACCTAATTTTGACAGATTCCGGCTGCATATTAAGAAAAGCAACAAGTATCCCAACAGAATTTTAAAGCTTGGTTTAATTACGAGTAAATCAGAAACTAGGGTGTCAGTGTCCCGCTTGAAATAACTATTGGTATCAAGAGCCTACAGTATAGAATGATGTAGAAAAGCGAGAGTGAATAAAATGCCAAACCTTCATTTGACCAGGATCTGAAACTGCCAAGAGCCGTTTTATGAATGTGTTCATTGCCAGCACAACATCCTCTCCAGCACTACTTGTCAACTCCTACATGAGATATTAGACAAAAATTAGAAAGCAGTTGAACAGAAAATGATGACTGGCTCATGAAACTACTACAGTTCCATGTAAACAAGTACCAGGCAGATTAAGATGATTCAATATGTCTGGCAGAGGGAAATATTGACAGAAATATTCGTTTTATGTAGACTATGATAACCCAGAAGCAATGCATTTCTTAGGTGAGTAATATGCACATGTTTTGGTTTTAAACCAGTAAAAAACAACTAGATTATGAGAATAAAATGAAATGCCATCATAATCGTAGATATACAACTATCTCAATTAGAAGGCATATAACTACGGAAAATATTCTCCTCAGTTGTTTAGAACCCTTATAAATGGTACAGTTTTCTGACCTTAAGATTTTGGGGCTCAAGCGACTTCAGATATTCCAACAATTCATTCTCTCCATTCACAGATTTTCGCCCTACTTGACGATTCAGTTCCTCTATTTCTGCTTCAAGTAACTCAATGTATTTTACTGCATCTATTCTCTCAGGACCAGAAACATTATTCCACCTGATAACTTCGCCTGACACTTTCTTTTGGGCACCCGGTGCATAATCTGGACCTTCCTGCACAGGAATAAGAGCAAGTCATAAAGCCTCGTTATGGCAATAGCTAATTGTAAATTATACTATGGAACAGCTCTCATTCTCTCACAAAAAAGATAAAAAAAAAAATGCTGCTTATTTCCCTATCGTCCCTAAAATTATATTTATGGTACAAATTATGGCTATTGAAAAGGTGTGACAGCAATAGAGATTGGATGAGAGAATCTAGTGAAGGTTGTAGATGGAAATGACGCACCTAAACCTAGCATGGAAAGGACAAAAGAAGAAATTTGTGAAGCTAATTACAATTAAGAAGCCTTAAATGCTCTTTTTAGTATTATTACCCCTCGTGAGTTTGCTAGGATTTCGAATTGTTTTTCGCAAAAGAGGCTTTAGGAAATCTTAGAAAAAAGTGCCCTAAGATACTACAACATTAAAGATTTCTAAGATTCAAATACTTGCAACTAAATTTGAAAGTCATAAAGTGGAAGAATCAAAAACTTTTGATGAGTTCTATGCAAAACTAAATGACATAGATAGAGTTTGGGGGAGCCCGTCATCAAAAGTCCTTTACAAAGAATACCTTTATAAAAGGGATTTTAGTAGAAGGAATTTAAATATATATATATATATATATATATAAAAGATATTTGTTGAAGAATTTTTCTAAGAGTCCTTTAAAGATAATTTTTGATTCACAATATCACTCCATCATTAACTTCTAAATTATCAAAAATAAAAAGGAATAAATAAACTACATCTTGTGCTAGAGATCTCTTTCATAGTCACACCCAGCCAGAACCTTTATAAAGGAAACTTCCCTTCTTTATTTGGTTAAAGTTTCACACCATAGCAGTCATAGCAAAACACCCACCTTCAGAGACAGCAATAAGATTTGCAATTGTATGGGTACAACGAAGCAGATCGATTAATTTATATGCATATGGTAACACCAATTGCATTCATGCTCTTATTTTGAGATGGCACATAACAGAGAGATGATGGTGGCCGAAGGAGCAGAACCAAAGGTTGCACTGCAGATCTAGCGATGTGCCTTTTTTGAAAAGTAAATATGTATTAGAAAACATTGAAGAGGCGAATGCATCCCGAAAACTACGCAATGGCCGAAGCCAAAAAAAGGGCTGGAATTTTTTTTTTTTTTTCCTGAATGGGGTATTGTATAAAAAGAAAAAAGGAGAATTACAGTTCATAAGGAGGCATTCCCCCTTTTACAAAACTGGCCTAGAATAACCCACTTCCAGTAGATGCAACATAAAAATAAACCAGAAAAACTCTCAAGAACTAAAAATGATTAAAAAGTCTTCAAGCCTAAAATTAAGATAGGTAAGTACATCCCAAATGATAGTCCTGGCAGCATAAACAGCCGGATCTTTTGTGCCATTGTGGAGAGTTGAATTTCTACTTGACCAAATTTTCCAAATGGTAACAGCAAAAACAGCACCCAAAACCTTAGACTTTGTAGATTTGATAACTGAATTCTCCAAGAACCAATCTGTCAACTGTCTAATAGAATTAAAACTAGGCAGTTCCAAATGAAGGAAGCCAGCTCTTGCCAAATTGTAGCAGCATAATCACACTCACAGAATAGATGATCATTAGAATCAATATTTGCCAAACAATTGTGACGTGGAACTAAGAACCAGACCTCTTTTCTGCAAATTAACATAACTGAGGTTCTGACTCCCACAGCAATTCGAGGTCTGCAGGAGCCCCAACATAATTTACTCCATGAAATCTTCTGTTTTGTAACCCTAATTGTACTCCAAGCAGCTTTCAAAGAAAATGTACCATGCTTCCATGTAATCGAATCAGTCCTGGCCTGTATTTCCAAACTTTGGATAGCGTTACGTACCTCCCCAGGTAAATCAAATGGGAAAAACCAAGAACCATTCTGAATTATTGAAGACAACATAGTATTTCTGTCAATATGTCTAAATCTTCTAGCCCCAAACTGCTGAACCAATGATTGATTATTACACCATGCATCAGTTAGCAGTTTGAACTTCAATCCATCACCAACTTTGAAATCAGTATTCTCCAGAATTAGTTGTCTAACCCCTACTATTTGTTTCCAGATAGAAGAAGCACTCAACTTTGGGACTACAGACCAGAAACAAGCCTTCTGAAGATACATTGCCTGCAACCATTGGATCCAAAATTTGTCTTTGTTCTGAATAAAGTCCCAACACTGTCATTTTTGCTGCACAATCAATATCCTGAATCCTCCTAATATTGAATCCACCTTCAGCCACAAGGAGAGTAACTTGACTCCACTTTACTTGAGACATTTTCTTCAAATCCTGCTTACCACTCCATAAGAAATTTTAAAGCCCCAATAGAATATTCCTCTCCATCAAAGGATCTTCTATTCTGCTCTTTCCAAATGCACCACCGAATGCAAAAAGGTGCCACCCTCCAAAAATCGCGGCATGGGATCCCACATGATATCCTCTTTATGCATCAATCAAGCCTCTGGAATACCTAGGCATGACCCACTAAACACCAAACAAGCCAAAGATAATGTGATGTTGTGGCTCGAATTTGGTTCCGAACGCGACCCATTTATGACCCGACGACCTGTTGGATGAGCTTTATGTGGGCCTAAACCATTTTTGCTCATGGGTCGTGGACCCTGATTAGTCTCTTGTAGGCCAATATATAAGGGCGCTTAGGGTTTGGAGTGGTGTAAGAGAAAGACTCTGAAATTCTTACAGAAACAGAGTGAGGAGCTAAAAACTTATAATCTCCGATTTTATACATAGTGAAGACTTTCGTCGAATCTCAACCGTGGACGTAGACCATTGCCAAACCATGTATAAATCTTTGTGTTCTTTGTGTGGTATGTTTACTTTTCTGTCGTGATTCTTGATTTTATCTTGGGTTCATTGCGTTTGTCATAACAAAATGGTATCAGAGCTTTCGGTTCGAAGCAAGGATGTCATCTAAGTTTCTGGAAATGAAGAAGTTTAACGGCGGAAACGATTTCAACTTGTGGCGGGTTAGGATGCTGGCTTTGTTGGTTCAACAAGGGTTATCCAAGGCATTGAAGGGGAAGGATGCACTGCCATAAAAGATCAAGGACAAAGATGAGGTTATGGAGAAAACATATAGTACGATTTTGTTGTCCTTGAGTAATGAGGTTCTGCGAGAAGTTGGAGAGACTACTATGGGCTATGGCAGAAGTTGGAGTCCTGGTATATGACGAAATCTCTTACGAATCACTTGTATCTAAAGAAGCGGTTAGATGCACGAAGGTTTGTCCCTAAAAGACCATCTTAACGAGGTAAATAGTATCATCATACACTTGAATAATATTGATGTCAAGATAGAGTATGAAGATTAGGCTATTATTCTGTTGTGTTCTCTACCACCCTCGTATGAGAACTTTGTCGATACAATTATGTATGGCATAACTGCTTTGTCCATGGAAGGCGTGAAGGCAGCTCTGAATTCTAAAGAGTTGCAGAAAAGGGCGTTTGAGGGCAAAACAGAAAATTCGGTAGAGGGATTATTTGTTAGAGGAAGAACGAATCAAAAGGGAGGGTCTGGCAGCAATGGTCATTCTAAGTCTAAAAACAAAATGAAGGTGTTGAGATGCTTCATCTATCACAACGAAGGTCACTTCAAAAAGGATTGTCCAGAGCGTAAGAAAGGAAAGGTAAAATCATCTGAAGTTGAAAGTGTGGTTGTTGCAGAGGGTAATGATTCAAATGGTGATAATGTTCTCACAATTTCAGTCGGCAGCTCTTGCGATGAGTGGATTCTTGATTCGGGTTACTCGTTTCATGCTTGTCCAAACATGGACAGGTTTACCTCTTATCGATTTATTGATGGAGGGGAAGTTCTGCTGGGGAATGATGCGACATGTAAAGTTATAGGTATCGGTACAGTTCAAATCAAGATGGATGACAGCATAGTGAGGATACTGACTGATGTCAAGCATGTACCAGAACTGAGAAAGAAATTGATTTCCCTGGGTACGCTGGATTCCATCGGGTGCACTTATAAGGCTGGAGGTGGAGTCATTCGGGTTTCCAAGGTGCTCTTGTGGTGATGAAGGGACTAAAGAAGCATGGTTTATATGCTCTGTAGGGTAGCACAATCATGGGTTCAGTTGTTGTATCATTCTCGGATCCGGATTCAGATACTACTAGATTGTGGCATATGCGGCTTGGGCATATGAGTGAAAGGGGGATGGATGTTTAGAGTAAGCAGGGTTTGCTTGGTGGTCAGAAAATTGGGAAGCTGGATTTCTGTGAGCATTGTGTCTCCAGGAAGCAGTGCAGGGTGAAGTTCTATACAGGAATTCACAAGACCAAGGGTACGGCGAATTATATTCATTCTGCTTTAGGGTCCCTCTCAGGTTACTTCATATGGTGGTGGTATATATATGATGACGCTGATTGATGACTTTTTTCGGTAAGTTTGGGTTTGCTTTTATTACATTCAAGCAGTGGAAGACCTTGATTGAGAAGCAGAAAGGAAAACAGGTTAAGCGTTTAAGGACAAACAATGGCTTGGAATTTTGTGATGGAGAATTTAATGAGTTCTGCAAGACTCACGGAATTATTAGACACCACACAGTGAGGAAGACTCCGCAGCATAATGGAGTTGCAAAACAGATAAAAAGAACGCTATTATAGAGGGCACGGTGTATGTTGTCCAATGTAAGGTTAGACAAAGCGTTTTGGGCTAAAGCTGTTTCTGTAGCTAGTTACTTCGTGAACCGGTCTCCATCGACTGCTATCGATTGTACGACTCCAAGAGAAGGTATGGTCTGGTTCTCCTGCTAGTTACAGTAATTTGATAATATTTGGGTGTCCAATGTATGTTGATGTAAATGAGGGGGAAACTTGAACCAAGGGCTAAGAAATGCATATTTCTTGGTTATCAGCCTGGGGTAAAGGGATACAAATTATGGTGCCCAGAGGCTTCGGGAAAGAAGATACTTGTTAGCAGGGATGTGACCTTTCATGAGTCTGTGATGTTTACTCCGCAGA